TGAGCTGATTCTTTAGAAAAACTACCTTCAAAAAAATAAGTTAACTTAAGTTCTAAAAAGTATCATATTCATATCAAAACAAAAAAGGTACACTATTAAAGAAATGGTGTTTTAAGAGACAAATTCTCAGCTAGATGTTAACATCAGAATACAAAGTAATATATTTAGAAGAACTGCTGAGCTGCAAATAACCTGGGTGTGAGTCAGAAAATATTAGGACAGGCCTATCCACCAGGGATATAGATTTGATTACATGTGACTTGTGTCAACTTTAGAGAAATCAAGAGCAAAATATAAAAGCAAAGCAATGGGAATGCTTCTAAATGAGCCATTCAGCCTCCAAGGCAAGTTACATGGCAGCAATTGAAATTCAAAGGGAAAGCATCAACATGCCAGCCAGGTTTATATATTGCTTGCTCATTCATTCTTTCAAAAGATCAGAAAAACTTTGCTTTTTAAATTAAAAGTGGTAATAATACCACTTCAAAATTACTAACACTCTCTGGTCAGCTGTCTGTTTAGGCCCCTGAAATTCTAATACCTACTCAGTCACAATAAATAAAAATTAATATTTATATTTTCTATTACCCAAAAAGGATTTACAACCCTGCAATCAACAAGATAATAAAAAGCTTAAGTAAGGTTGTGTGTGTGCGTGTGCATGTGCGTGTGTGTGTGTGCGTGTGCATGTGTGTGTGTGAGAAGGGGGTGGTGGTGTCCAAATTGCCTTTCATTTGTTTTTTAAAATAGATTTTATTTTTTTATTTTTTATTTTTTTGTTTCTTAATTTTGTTTTATTGCTTAAAATATTACAAAGATTGGTACATATGTCTCTCTCTTTTGATTTTATTTTTTAGAGAGGTTTTAGATTCACAGCAAAACTGAACAGATGGTTCAGAGATTTCCCATATACTCTCTACCTACTTCCACACATGCATAGTCCTCCCCATTAACATTCACCACCACAGTGGTACATTTGTTATAATCAATGAAGCTACATCAGCACATTATCACCCAAGGTCCATAGCTTACATTAGGGTTCACTCTTTGTGTTGTACATACTATGGGCTTGCACTAATTAATAATTACATGTATCCATCATTGTATTATCACAGAGTATTTTCACTACCTAAAAATCCTCTTATAACAACTTATCTTTTTTCTGTCTCAATAGTTTTTGCCTTTTCTGGAATGTTGTATAGTTGGAATCATACAGTATGTATGCTTTTCAGACGGGCTTCTTCCACTTACTAATATGCACTTAAGTTTTCTATCTTTTCATAGCTTGAAGTTCATTTCTTTTTAACATGGAATAATATTCCATTATCTTGTTATACCACAGTTTGTTTATCCATTCATCTACTAAAAAACATCTTAGTTGCTTCCAAGTTTTGGCAATTATGAGTAAAGATGCTTTAAACATCCATGTTCAGGTTTTTGTGTAGACATTAAGTTTTTGCCTTTGTTAGGTATACACCAGGAAGCGCTATTGCTGGGTTATATACTAGTAGTAAGAGTATGCTTAGCTTTGTAAAAAACTGCCAAGCTGTCTTTCAAATTAGCAATACCATTTTGCATTCCCACAGCAATGAATGGAAATTCCTGTTGCTCCATTCCTTGTCAGCATTTGGTATTGTCAACATGCTGGATTTTGACCATTCTGATAGGAGTGAAGTAGCATCTCAGTGTTATTTTAACTTGCATTTCTCTGATGACATGTTGTAGAACATCATTTCACATGCTCATTTGCATACCTAGACCATTGCAATTACCTCCTAATTTAATTTTTCCTCTGACTATTGTCAGTTTAATCTTTCTTAGCCAAACTTTTTCTCTTGCAACTGTGGCATTTAGGATATAAGTTCCTTATTTGCCTCAGAAATCAAATCAAAACACTTGAAGATCCTCTATAAATCAGTCCTATCATATGTAATAGACTCATTTCCCTACTCTCTACTCCAATTAGGCCTATTCTAAATTTCCTCCACACATACTATATTTGTGATTGTATATTTCTTTTGTTCATATTGTTCCCCTTACCTCGAAAGTCCTCCCTGCTTCCTTTACCAATACAGTCAATTCTATTAATTCAATAAGCATTTAATGAAATCCTACTAAACACTTTCCCATAGAGTTAGGCAGAAAAAATGCAAAGCTAAAAAAAGGCATCAACCTTACACTGAATAATTTTACAATCTACGTGCCTTTAAAGTCCTAATTTAAATGCTATCTCCTCAATGAATCCTCCCAGGCTTTCCATTCCATGATGGCCTTTTTTCCTGACTCTTAAAATACTCAGTCTCTTCTCTACCACAGACCAAGTTATAAACTATCAAATTTTATTATAAACTACTTTATTGTAACATTTTTGTTGTTTAATAAGTTTTTGTCCTTTCAACTAAAATGTAAGTTCCTTCAGTATAAGACTGTCTTTTACAGAAAGAGACTTTGCTTGGGGCAGTGAGTGCATTTGCAGCATGCAGGTGAAGTTTTATTGAGTTGTAGACTTGAAACCTGTATGGCTTTGTGAACCAATGTCACCACAATAAATTCAATTTAAAAAACAACACTATTTCTTTTAGCTCTTCTATATGCCCTCAAAATATCATGCACACTTTAGATATTTTTTAAATACGTATTTTACTTTACCTCATTTATTAATACATGATAAATCTAACTATACTGGTGTGGTAGGCATTTATTTAAAGTAAAAATAAACCATAGAATCACTGGGTCTCTCAAGGCTAAAACCCATGTTGAACCTCTTAAAAAATGACAGGTCAATAACATTTTTCTTCTTTTTCAAATATAGTCAATGTTTTTACCAAAACTATCATTTAATTCAATTGTAGAGTCAATAAAATACTTGATATAAAAAGTAAAACTCCAGCCCTGGCCCATGTGGCTCAGTTGGTTGGAGCATTGTTCCGTACCAAAAGGTTGCAGGTTTGATTCTCGGTCATGGTACATACCCAGGTTCCATGTTCGATCCCTGGTCAGGTGCATATGGTAGGCAACAGATCGATGTCTCTCTCTCTCTCTCTCTCTCTCTCTCTCTCTCTCTCTCTCCTAAAATCAATAAAAACCTACCCTCCAGCGAGGTTTTTAAAAAAACCCTCCAGCCCAGCCGGTGTGGTTCAGTGGTTGATTGTTGACCTATAAATCAGGAGATCACAGTTCTATCCCTGGTCAGGTCACATGCTCGGGTTTTGGGGCTCAGTCCCCAGTAGGGAGTGAGCAGAAGGCAGCTAGTCAATGATTCTCTCTCATCATTGATGTTTCTATGTCTCTCTCTCCATTCCTTTATGAGGAAACAAACTCCACAAAAAACAACCCCCTCCAGCTTCACTGAAATGTTCATCTTTCAACCGTTGTTGAAAGTTTTGTGTTTTGTTTTGTTTTTAAAAACACAGTCCAAAGTTCTCTTAAATTTGTTCTATCATTAGTTATATGTCATCCTTATACTTCTAAAAATACACTTTGAGAAGTCTTAATTTAATACAATTGTGATATGTTGTGAACATCCTAAAGAAGCAAGATAGACTCTCACTCCAAATTTGTTTAGGATATTGAGATATAACACCAAACACACTCCAATAGGATATGAGAAGTCTTGTTATTTGCATAACATTTTTCTGAGGAGAGAAGGCCAGACATTCTAAGCTGGTATGAAAATGGCTTAAGAGAGCAGGGGAAGAAAACTGGCTTTGGGTTTTTATATCAGTAGGGGTGGAGCTGGAGCAAGAGTTTCTATAGATTGTTTTAATGTGGTGCCAAAGGAGGGAACATCTGGGCTTTCTTATCAGCTTGACCAAATATAGGGCAAAAGGGGAAGAAAACAGGGTGAGGCTTAAAATCCAAAATATGGAGTCAAATTCTTTATTACTTAATAACTTGATACAACTAATTAAAAAAACACAAAATACAATGATATTGAGCAATGTGTTTATATAATTTCATAAAAATTTTAAATATCTTCACTTAAGCTACAGAACTGATTAACAAGCAAATGCTGTTCATAAAATATATTTTTGTTGAAGACAGGAAACAAAATTTTAAATGTTCTTTAAAGATATTTAAGCAAAAAAAATACATTAACAGTGTCACCATTAAGACAACAATCCGATTTTCAGAAAATTATGTTTCACATTTCCTTTTCTTCCACTAAAGAAACTGAAAAAAACCTGATAAAATTATAATTTTATCCTTTGTTGTATTATAAGAAAACACATATTATTAAGGTATTACTCTTTATATTGCGAGAGTAAAGCGTAAGTGAAACACAGTAATTTTAAAAGCACTTTTTAGTAGCTAAAAACTAAGGACATCTCAACATTAATTCTGCATAGTTACTGCTAAAAGGTCTTCTGATGGCATGAAGGAGTTCTTGTTCTTATCAAAGCACCTAAAATACTACCAAAATGAAACTTAGATTCTGTGGAGAAGCAGGCTTAATATTTATAATAAAGATTAAAGGAAAAAAATATCAAATTCTATTAAGATTAGTAAAAGTTCTGCCTGAATATGGCTTGCAAAATCAAAACCAAAATAATGATAGTGATAGCTAATACCACAATAAAAACAAAATTAAATGACATGGGCTTAATTTCCTTCAATATTTAAATAATATAATAAAATAATATAATTATGATAACCCATTATTGCTTTAATCAACAAAAAAGTCTTCATATTTTAATAATGTAAATTTATACCCTAGAGCAGTGATGACGAACCTTTTGAGCTCGGCGTATCAGCATTTTGAAAAACCCTAACTTAACTCTGGTGCCGTGTCACATATAGAAATTTTTTGATATTTGCAACCATAGTAAAACAAAGACTTATATTTTTGATATTTATTTTATATATTTAAATGCCATTTAACAAAAATCAACCAAAAAAATGAGTTCGCGTGTCACCTCTGACACGCATGTCATAGGTTCGCCATCACTGCCCTAGAGGTTTACAGAGCAGTAAAATAATTCCAGAACTTAGTAATTAGTTCAAAAAAAAGTAAACTGAGTTGTATTTTGTGAGGAAGATGAAAAACCTTTTACAGAAGAAGGGGGTGTTGAGTTTTGATCCTGTTCAAATGAAAATGGAAAACTAAAATCATCTTTTCCAGCTCCAAATGTATGAGTTGAAGAGTCTGATGGAAAAGAAAATGTAAAGGCATCTTCTGGTTTCCCAAATAAGTTTCCTGAAGAAAATATATACATAATATCATGCTATTCATGTTATGTAATTTGCATAACCTACTAAATTACAGTATACAGCATACAATAGGATAACATTGAATCATTTATCTATCTTGCAGATATTTAACTGTATTTCTTTTATGTGCAAAGTACTATCCTTTGTAGTATGGAAGGTTATAGAGATTCAAACTTAAATTCTACTTTAAAGTAATTTGTACTCAAGTACATAAAGAAGTAGTATATAAGGTGGAAGGAAGGGTAAAGAACTCAAATGGAGAATATAGCACAGAAACAGGTATGCATAGAAAATATACAGGTGACAGAAAGCAATTCAGCTTTCAGGAGCACTGAGAAATAATAAATAGTTATTAAAAGGGAATTAATGAAGATAAGCTTGGAAAAACTGCTGTATGTCCAGCTACAGAACTGGGCTTCATTTGGTAAGTAAATGAAAGCCACTAAACATCTTCAAGAAGAGATATGACAGGACTTGTACTTCTTTATATAAGAGTTATTCAGGAGAGGATATGTAGAAAGGCTGGGAGAGTGTCTAGAAGTGGAAATAACAGAAAAGAGATGATAAAAGCTTGGCCTTACCTAAAATCACAGCAAAAAGAATGGAGAAAGAAATATTGGATCTAAGAGACATCGCATAAGTCAAACGTATTCAAATATTATTTATGAGTAACTACAATTACTGCTAATGACATTGGCCTAGGACAGTGATGGCGAACCTATGACACGCGTGTCAGAGGTGACATGCGAACTCATTTTTTTGGTTGATTTTTGTTAAATGGCATTTAAATATATAAAATAAATATCAAAAATATAAGTCTTTGTTTTACTATGGTTGCAAATATCAAAAAATTTCTATATATGACACAGCACCAGAGTTAAGTTAGGGTTTTTCAAAATGCTGACATGCCGAGCTCAAAAGGTTCACCATCACTGGTCTAGGAAATGACAGAACAATGAAAAGGGCTCTATAGTTTTAAAATAAAATTTTAAAAATCAACTTTACATAAAAAATAACAATTCCCAGAATTGTTATTAAGGAAAAATATTCTTTTTCATTCATTTTATTATTTAATACTATAGATATATTTTCAACTTCTTAATTATAATTGTTGTTAAGTAATTTAAAATGTACAGTAATCCAAAGACTTACCTGAAACAAGTCTTTTAAAGCACCTATATTTTTTCATAGAGAACCAATTCAATGAGTACATTAAGCAAAACAATTTAGTTTGTGCCACTTAGAAATTTCATATATTTTTAAACATCTCAGTTATTTCACCCTAAATAAATCTGAACCAGCCAGCAGTAGGGTGAGTGGGTGGGTAGGTGGATGGATGGGTTGATTACAGATACCTGAGTACTTCCTCTCTGCCTTTTTCACTTTATTGTTCCACTGACATTCAGTAGACTTAAAGGAAGATTGATAAAATATAGCTACAGGTCCAGAAAGAACTAAAATATTGAATCAAGAGAGAGAGAGAGAGAGAGAGAGAGAGAGAGAGAGAGAGAGAGAGAGAGAGAGATATGATCGGTTGCCTCCCACACGCACCCTGACTAGGCATGCCAGGACAATGTTCGACCACACCAGCCCGGCTATAATGTCAACAGGTATTTTAGATATGAAGAGATATCAATAATACTGTCAGTATAAGGTCAGATGGTTTCACTGGTGAATTTTACCAAACATTTAGAGATGTATTAACACCAACCCTTCTCAAACTCTTCCCAAAAAAATCAAAGAGGAGGGAACACTCCCAAACTCATTGTATAAAGCTAGCATTAACTTGATACCAAAACCAGAAAAGGACACTACCAGAAAAGTAAAGTACAGACTAGTATCCCTCATGAATATACCAGTAGATGCAAACTACATATCACTTACCAACTTCTTGTTGTGATGAGAGAGGATTTAAATTTCCTGCAGAATAGTGTTCATTAAACTGAAAAATAATTTCCATTAAGTATTATTCATAAAATCAGTAAAACAGTATACATAGCATTTATATTTGAATCTAAAGCCTGGTTCTTCTAGTAAGCATAATCAGAGTAGAAAAAATAGCAACATTCTATATAGTACACTATTGTACTTAAAAAGAGATTTATCTTCATAACCTATCATTCGATTATATTAAAATAAGTCTTACTGATTTGATTCTGGACACTGATAAAATATTAGTAGGCAACATATATTTTACTAAGGAAGTTCCTACTTTGGAATATTAAAAAAACCTAAAATTCTAATTAACTTTTGCTTTATTCTGAAGCCTTTTTTACAAATCAGGTTCTTGGTATTGTTTTTTGTTTTTAAATATATTTTATTGATTTTCTACAGAGAGGAAGGGAGAGGAATAGAGAGTTAGAAACATCGATGAGTGAGAAACATCGATCAGCTGCCTCCTGCACACCCCCTACTGGGGATGTGCCCGCAACCAAGGTACATGCCCTTGACCGGAATCGAACCTGGGACCCTTGTCTGCAGGCCGATGCTCTATCCACTGAGCCAAACCGGTTAGGGCTCTTGGTATTGTTTTCCTGCCTATATGTTAAGTGAAATAAGCCAGTCACACGATCTCTCTTATGTGGAATATAATGAACAAAATAAACTGAGGAACAAAATATTTCCAGAGACATGGAATCATGGAACAGACTGACCAATCTGAGAGAAGTGGGGCAGGGATGAGGGCAGGAAGAGATTAACCAAAGAATTTATATGCATTATGCACTACTGAACACAGACAATAGTGCAGTAGGCCTGGGAAGGAGGTCCAAAGGAGATGGAGGGGTTCAAAGAGAGAAAAAAAAGGGGACATCTCTAATACTTTCAATAATAAAGATATATATTTTTAAAGTAATAGGAAGTATGATAGCTTCACGTCACTTCAGCTCAAGTTTTGCTGCCAAAGCCTGTTTTCTCTGTAAAACAAGCTTTTAAAAAGTGGAATCATGGCCTTGGCCGGCTCAGTGGTTAGAGTGTCAGCCAGTGCACCAAAGGGTCTAGGGTTCGATTCCAGTCAAGGGCATGGACCTGGGTTGCAGGTTCCATCCCTGGCCCCAGCTGGAGCATATGCGGGAGGCAATCAATGTGTCTCACGTCGATGTTTCTCTCTCTCTCTCCCTCCACTCCCCCTCCTTTCCACTCTCTCTGAAAATCAATGGAAAAAATACCCTCAGTGAGGATTTAAAAGAAAAAAAAGGAATCCTTACAACAGGTTTCTGTTCTTTTAAAACTTAATATTGCATTATGAGCATTTTTTATGTTATTATTCTTCCAAAACCTGATTTTTAATGGCATTTTAATATTTCTCCATAGTGACATACAATGCAGTTTCTTTCTTCTTTTTTAAATATATATTTTATTAATTTCAGAGAGGAAGGGAGAGGGAGAGAGAGATAGAAACATCGATGAGAGAGAATCATTGACAGGCTGCCTCCTGCACAACCCACACCGGGGATGGAGCCCACAAACTTGTCACATGCCCTGACCAGGAATTGAGCTGTGTCCTCCTGGTTCATAGGCTGATGCTCAACCACTGGGCAAGAGTTTATAAATTTTGTTAATATTCTTCAAAGGCCCAACTTGGCTTTGTTAATTTTCTCTGCTTGTTTTCTATTTCATTGATTTATCTTTCTTATTTTTACTTTGTTCTTTTTTCTAGCTTTTCAAGATGGAACCTTAGGTCACTAATTTTAGACCTCTCTTCTTTTCTATTAATTTAATTATCTAAATTATCAATTACTTAAAGTGATCATTTTGCTCTGGTTTTGGCAGCATTCCACAGTTTTTGATATGCTAAATGTTTACAATCATTCACTTCAAAATTTTTCTTTTTTTTTTTTCATGATTTCTTCTTTGACCCATAACCTACATATTTAGGATTTTCCCAATACCTTGCTATTGATTTCTAATTTAATTCCATTGTGGTCTGAGAAATTTATTAAGACATTTTATGGCCCAGATTATGATCTGTCTTGGTGAATGCACCATCAGTTGCTGGGTGTGGTGTTCTATAAATGTAAGTTAGGTCAAGGGGATCAATAGTGTTGTTCAGATTTTATAACATACATTTATTGACTGTTGTCTAATTATATAAATTGCTGACAAATTTTAATTGTTTAAAAATCTCCAACTTAGTTTGTGTTTTTGCCTATTTCTCCCTTAATTCTGTCAATTTTTGTTTTGTATTTTGATGCTGTTAGTAGGCATGTACACATTTGTCATTGTTACATCTTCCTTAATAATTGACCCTCTTATCCTTACGAAATGTTCCTTTTTATCTCTGTCAATATTCTTTGCCTTGAAGATTACCTAAAATGATATTAGTATAGCCATTGTGACCTTACGCTTACAGTTTTCATGATATACCTTTTCCATCCATTTACTTTCAATCTGTCTTTGTCTTTATATTTAAAGTGTTATCTTATAGATAACTTATAGTTGGGTCATGCTTTTTATCCATTCTTACAATCTCTCCCTTTTAATGGAGTGTTTAGTCCATTTATGGTGAATGGAATTATTTTAAAATTTCATATTTTCATCAAACATTTTACTATTTTTTTTCACTTTGTTCCTATGTATCTTGTTATGCTGTTCCTTCTCTGCCTTCCTTTGGGTTAAATGTCATCTTAGAATTCCATTTCAGTTTATTACAAATCTTATTTATTAACATTTTTATTACTCTTAGTCAGAAAACTTAGTAATTATTATGCCAATCTCATTCCTCAACCCTACTACTACAAAATCAAAAGATTAAAGGTAAATCAGCTTGACGGGACTCCAATTAGAATTGGATATTTATAAATTATTTGGGGAAGAAATATATACTTACAATATTTTCTTCCTATACAGGTATGTCATATATCTTTTGAGATATTCAATTATATTTTTTCTTTATCCAAATGGACATATTTCCTGCTAAAGTTACATACATGTGTTTTGCATTTATGTTACTATTGTAAATGAGAATTAACTAACTATAGTCTATTTTTTAATTCCTCTAGGGATTACTGTTTTTGAAATAATCATTTAGATAAATTGAGATCAAAAGTGAAGACATAAAATACTACAAATTTTACACTAATACTATATCATCCATCAATAAATTTATAATATCAACATTTTAATATTATGTATTAGATGTAGGAATAAAATATTCTAATCCACATAAAATTGGCTAACTGTGACTAAATTAGATGAGCAATAACAATATAATATTTATATTGTATTACACTGCTACTTATGGCATTAAATGGTTTGAACTTTTCTAAGTGTTTTATATACATAAATCCACTTAACAGTAAAAAAAACCCTATGGTAAAAGTTATTATTTTCATTTTACAGATGAAAAATAGAGTCTTACATATTCAAAATCCTACATCCAGTATACACCCAAGTGGTCTGGTGTCAGAGTCTAGTGTTAATCACTATGCTATACTATCTCTACTAATCAAATAAAGTACATAGTCTTAATTTTCAGTTTCAATTGCTAAATACAGAAGTAAGTACTTTATCATGATTTCTATCACTTAACAGGAGAAATCACTATTAGATGGAAATTCTTTAGGCCTTCTAAAATTATCCTATCTAATAAAAGGGTAATATGCAAATTAACCATCACTCCATCACAAAGATGGTGGTGCCCATAGTCACAAGATGGAGGTGCCCAGTCCTTTCAGCCCGCTGGAGTCCCCCAGTCCCAGGGGTGGGGGCGGCCGCTGAGAGCAGGCAGCGTGAGAGGCCTAGCAGAATGTTTGCTTCATCACCGTGGCGACAAGGCAAGCGTTCTGCACCCAGCCGCGGATGGGCCTCTGGCCAGGCCGGGGCACAGATGGGCCTCTGGGCCACGGAGAGCCTCTGGGCAGTGGGCATGGAGCGGCCAGGCCCTGCAGAGAGCTACTGGCGCACGGATTCGTGCACAGGGCTACTAGTTTGATTATAATGTTGTTATATACACTCATGTAGATAGAAAGACCAACTAATAACCTGGAGTTTTTACACTGAGAATATAGGAAATTTGTTTAGAAGTTAAACACATAAATTATAAAACCAAATTAATTTTTAAACTGCCTTTAACTGCAATTCAAAGCATTCCTGCCCTGAGATTCTTTTTTTATAAATATGTGTCAATTTGGGGCACCTGAAGTTGAAAAGAAAAAATAATGGTTGAACTTTGCTATTTATCAATATTCAGAATCTTTTCAAAAATTGCCTTTGTCCCAAGATAGTTTGGTACTAAAGAAATAAAATTCCTTGAGGTTCTAGTGTACATTTTTTTTTTAGAAATGAAACTTTAGCTTCTCATATTACCTTATCTGATGAGATTTCTGAATCAAATATAGAAGAATCAAATAAATTCAATCCAGGTGATCTAGAAGTATAACTCATAAGAAAAGAAAACCCAGGGGATTCCTTTTGTGTTTGATCTTCAGGCATTGTATTTCTGTTTCTGTTATAGAGAAATAAGAAATCACCAAAATGTTAAAAACATATTATTTAATATTGCAGAGTGGTAAGTACCATAACAAATGTCATAGAGCAGTGATTTTCAACCTTTTTCATCTCATGGCACATATAAACTAATTACTAAAATTCTGCGGCACATCAAAAAATATATTTTTTGCTGATATTACAAATAAAAGTAGGTATAATTTTGATTCATTCACATCTGACAGCTATTGTGTTGTCATTTTTTTTATTTGACCATCTAAGGCAGAGGTTCTCAACCTGTGGGTCGCAACCCCTTTGGGCAACTTTGGGTTGCCTAAGACCATCGGAAAACACATATATAATTTCATATTGTTTTTGTGATTAATCACTATGCTTTAATTATGTTCAATTTGTAACAATGAAATTTGGGGTCACCACAACATGAGGAACTGTATTAAAGGGTTGCGGCATTAGGAAGGTTGAGAACCACTGATCTAAGGGAAAAGAGGTCAGTGCCCAACTAAACAGTCAGGTATTGCATGTTTTAAAAATTATGGCCACATATCAGTTGAAAAATCACTAGCATAGAGGTAAGAATTGACACAGTAGGGAAAGGGAGGAAGTAGCTACTGAAGTGACAACCTAAGGAGAAAAAGATGGTTTAAGGTGAAAAATGTTAAATAGAGTAAAACAATCAATTATGGAATGATAATAATTCCCACTGAGAATATACTGTCAGGCTCTATTCTAGGTATTTCCAACACCACTAAAGTGCTTTATTCCCCCAAATAACCCTATGAAATAGGTACTATTATTATCACTTCCATTTTATAGAACAGGATTTTGATGCATAGAAAGGTTAAATAATTTGCTCCAAATAATGTAGTGCCAGAGTTGGGATTTGATGCAGCAATCCAGATTCAAAGTCGAGACTCTTAACCTTGATTCTGTAGGTCCCGAAAGCCAGTCACAAAATTAAAATCTTTATGAGAAGTCAGATTGTTGCATAAGGGATTTGGAGACAATAATTAGACAAGACAGCATATAAAACAGTTTTTATATACAAAAAGATTTGTATATAAATACAAAAAGATTTGGAGAAAATAATTAGATAAGGCAGTATATAAAACAGTGGTTAAAAGCAGGGATTCTGGAAGCAAATCTGCCTGGGTTTGAATCTCAACTCTAACACTAATGAGTTGTACCACTTGTAATTCTGTTTCCTCATCAATAAAATAAGGATAATAATGTACTTACATTTCATAAAGTTGTTGTGAATCTTAAATGAGTAATATTTATAAATTCTTAGACATTGCTATTAAGTGTTTGTTAAATACATAGAAATCTGAAGATAACTTCTATAACTACCTCTATGACTATTAATGAATCACTTAACTTTATAGATCGGTTTACTCATCCATAAAAAAAAGGTTTTAGCATATGATTGCCACATCCTTTTACAGTTTTGGATTTGATGATGAGTCTGCTTTGAACACGCTGTGTTTGAGTCAACAGTATTACATTAATATATATAATACTCTTACTAGCAATTTAAAATATAGCTGTAGAACCCTGGCCAGTGTTGCTCAGTTGGTTGGAGCATCGTTCCATAGACTGAAAGGTTGTGGGTTTGATTCCTGGGCAGGGCAGGAGGCAGCCGATTGATATTTCTCTTTCACATCTATATTTCTCTTTTCTCTTCTCTCTCTCACTCGCTCCTCTCCTCTCCTCTCCTCTCCTCTCTCTCCTCTCCTCTCCTCTCACCTCCCCCTTCCCCTCCCCCCCTCCCCCCTCCCCCTCCCCCTCCTCCCCCTCCCCTTCCCCTCCCCCTCCCCCCTCCTCTCCTCTCCTCTCCCCTCCCCTCCCCTCCCCTCTCCTCTCCTCTCCCCCTTCCCCTCTTTCTAAAAAAAAAAAAATCAGTAAACATATCCTCAGGTGAGAATTAACAAAAAATTTAAAGACAGCAGTAGAACACAGGTGAGAGATTCCTGATGGAGTGAAATCTGTTTGACATAGGGTTTAGAGGAATCTCAGGGATCAGCATTAAGGAAGGGAGTGAACTATAAAAGGTCAAAATGCAGCACTATTTTCTTAGCTGCAAATTAAAAATCTATGGTTTTCAAAGTTAAATGATCATTTTAGAGATATTTATGCCTATTGATGTTAGTTACAGAAAAGCAATTCTTGCTTTAGACATTGCAACATAAGGAAAAATGACTGCTGTAACATTATTCAATGATGTCTACAATCTACCACATGAGGTAATAGCATTTTAAACTTTCCATAGGTTTTTTTTTATCCTTTGGAAAATGTTAAATATATAGACTATTGCACTAGGTAAGTACTCAGGATCTATGCCATCTTCAGCTAAATGTTGCAGGAAAAATGGGGTAGAAGATATATGAAATAAGAATGGCAGGATGTTAATAACTGAATAATTGTTTAAACAGGGTTATAGGTACATAGGGTCATTATATTAGTGTGTATCTCCTTTGTATAGATGACATATTCCATAATAAAAACTTATTAAAGGTACAGGCATTTTACTATTCCTATCAATTATTTATGTAACTCAAAACATAAGTTCTTTAATTATAATTATTAATTAAAATCTTACATTTCAAGTGGGGGGGTTTTAGAGAACAGTAATTTCTCCAAAGATTCAGGTGTTTTCACAGCTTCAGGGGTTCTTAAAAATAAAGGAATTTCAGAAGTCTGTGCAAAATTCTCAGCCCTTTCTTCTACTTCATTATTATTATCTATTGGCTTCCCCAAATGTTCTTCATGTATAACCTGCAAATTTAAAGTAACAGAAAACTATAAAAATGAATGTTATTGCATTAATAAACTCACATATATAAAAATGTGTGAAGTGGAAAATACCATATTAACGTATGGTATTATCATTACACTAGAGGCCCGGTACACTAAATTCGTGCACTTGCGGGGAGGTGGTGGGAGTCCCTCAGCCCGGCCTGAACCCTCTCACAGTCTGGGAGCCCTGAGGGAATGTCCGACTGATGTCTTAGGCCTGCTCCCCGCAGAGAGTGGGCCTAAGCTAACAGCCGGACATCCTTAGCGCTGCTGCGGAGGCGGGAGAGGCTCCCACCACTGCTGCTACGCTCACCAGTCATGAGCCCGGCTCAGGGCTTCTGGCTGAGTGGCGCTTCCCCTGTGGGAGTGTACTGACCACCAGGGGACAACTCCTGTGTTGAGCACCTGCTCCCTGGTGGTCAGTGTGTGTCATAGCAACTGGTCTTTCTGCCATTCAGTTGATTTGCATATTAGCCTTTTATTATATAGGATAGGCAAAATAAGTAAAATAAGAATAGTTAATGAAAGTAATTGTCCAAACACACAAAATATATCTGTCCAAAAATGGGGGGGGGGGATGATGAGCAATTTTTCTTTTAAAATTTCCACATCATGCTCTGGGTTGAGTTGAATATGGTATCTCCTTGAAAGGGAGAAGTAATTTACTTCTAAGCAATCTTGCTCTCATTGCATATGTTCTTTGCATTTTTTTTTGCTTTTATAAATTCATTATACTATTTTCTCAGCAAAAATTGAGAACTTGAATAACTAATTTTCCTTTACATTATTTTATATGCTAGCAATGTGGTTTCTAAAATATGTTTGTTATACCTAATTCCATTACAGAAACAGTTTGGGTCACTCCACAAAAAACTCTAAATGTGCTTTTTACCTGTATTTCTTTACAGCAAAAATCTATGTTGCTTCTCTTGTTTTTCTTGAGTTCTTTATTTTATTTTTAAATTATGCATTGGTTAGGGTGTACAGCTTATGGTTAGAAAATAATATACTTTACATAGCGTTCTCCACAATATTTTCAGTACCCCAACTGTCACCATACATAATTACTATAATACTATTGACTATATTTCCTATACTTTTCTTACTTCCCCCTGAATATTTTATAATTACCAATTTGTTTCTCTAGTATGTCTACATATATCATCATTAACGATTTCTATTATTAAAAAATATTCTGAATATATTTTTATGGTAACCACTGGTCTTAAATTGCTTTGGTAAATTACTCCATCTTACCAAACAAAATTGTTTTCTTCCGTTATAATTTAGTTGTGGTGTCAATATATATAGTCAATTATTAATGACAACTCTTTTTGTGTATTTTCATATAAACTTTTTGTAGCTTCCTTTTTTAATCTAAAACTCTAAGGAATAGATTCTATAACATCATAGCCACTTGATTACTAAGCTAATAACATCTATACTTCACATAAATAATCTTTACTATAATAAATATGAAATAAAAATATGAACTAATATTTAAATTGGAATGTTTTGCTGAGAAATTAGAAACCAAACATTTGACTTACTTGTGAAGTACATTTTGATTCTTTCAATTGTCTTACTGTCCCTGTATCTCCACACTCAGCATCTGTTATATGAGAATAAACTATTTTTTCTTTTTGCAATGTAATTATAAATAAAACATGTAACACCATATGAAATTGCCAATATTTAACTGTTTTTGACCTACAAAACTACAACTTCATATAATTCAAAACAATACATAGACAGTAGAATAAAAACTATATGATCCCAGTCAGCATGGCTCAGTGGTTGAGCGTCGACCTATGAACCAGGAGGTCACGGTTCAATTACTGGTCAGGGCACATACCCAGGTAGTGGGCTCGATCCCCAGTGGGGATGGTGCAGGAGGCAGCCAATCAATGATTCTCTTTCATCATTGATGTTTCTATCTCTATTTCCCCCTCTCCCTTCCTCTCTGAAATAAAAAATAAATATTTTTTAAAAACTATATGAACAGTTTAATGAACAAAATTACAAAGAGAACACCTATATAACCACCACCCATGTAAGAAACAGAAAATTATGAGTACTCTAAAAGGTCTTATATTCCTCATATCCTCCTCCTCAGATGTAAGCACTATTCTGACTTCTGTAATAATCATTTCCTTGATTTGCTTTATATATCACCTAAGCAATATAGTTTACTTTTCCTGTTTTCAAATGATAACATGATGAAATAATAATATACATGCTCTTTGTCTTGCTTTTTTTTGTTTAGCATATGCTTGTGAGATTCATCTGTATTGTTATACATAGACAAAGGTGCTTATTTTAATGACATAAAGTATCCCATTGTCCAAACACACACAATATATCTATCTATTCTACCAAAAATGGGCATTTGAAGTGTTTCTGCTTTGAGGCTATTACAAACAATAATATCACATTCTTTTACATATATACTTGCATTTACACGCTTGTATTTCTCTAGGTATAGAGTGGAATTACAAGGTATAGAGTATGTGTATCTTCCATTTTACAAGATGTTAAACTATTTTCAAAGTTTAGCTTCCAAACTATTTATCCATTTTTGTTGTGGCAACTGACCATCCTGAGCTACTCTAGGAAATCATTCAATTTCACCAGACAAAATTATTAGCTCCAATTATAACTTAGGTGTGGTTTCAATACATGGTCATTTATAAATGGCAGTTCCTACAATAATTATGAGAGTTCCTATTGCCCTATATTCTCATCAATACTTACCTAGTATTGTCAGACTCCTTAATTTTACTAGTCTGGTGGATGTATAGTAGTATCTCATTGTGTTTTTATTAAGTTTCCTGATTTGCTGAGCAACTTTTCAGATGGTTAGCTGCCACAAAAGTTTCGCTATTTGAAGTACCTATTTGTGTACTTTGCACATATTTCCAATAGGATTGCCTTTTTCTTCTTGATTTGTAGAAGTTCTTTGCACATATTTGGAAACTAGTCTTCTGACAGTTCTAAATCATCTTGCCTTCCATTCTTTTTATAGTGTCTTTTGATGACCTAGTGACCTAGCTTCTATTTTTTAAGTGTCTTTTGATGAACAGAAATTCTGAATCTTAATATAGCCAAATTTATCAATCTTTCTTTTATGATTGGGCTTTTTAATTCTTATTTAATAGAACTTTCTTACCTTGAATAAATATTTTTCTACTTTATCATCTGAAAGCTTTTTATTTTGCCTCTTGCATTTAAGCCACAAATATTATTTTTACCATATATTAACTTCTTCAAAAATACACTTGGAAATTATTGAACAGAGTCTTTTTTCTTCTAAGATAACTATACGCTTTCTTGAGAATGAAACCTCGCCATATCTGCTCATTGCAACTAGAACTACACCACATATATGCATTTCCCCACATAAGTATACTAGTGATGTGTTGTTTCTAGAGATTAGCCATTCTTTCCTTGTCTAACACTCAGTCAGCTTGGCATGTATAGAGGATTATAAACAGGTGGAACAGATCACTGTGCAGATAAGATATATTTTTTTTCCAGAAGAAAGCAGGAAGAATATCCATTTACATGGGTATTTAAATAAGCATATTGTATTGGTTGAATCCTATACTGTGTGAGAAATAGTATATTACATGACCTTTTTGAATATGCATATATTTACAGAATTTTTATGCTACCAGAATGAGCCATTTTTAAAACCTCAAAATAAAAGTCAGCAATCCATATGCTACAGACAAGAAGAGGTGAAGACTTCTATATAGTTTATAAGTAGAATAATTATTATTCATTACTAGGTTACCACAATATGCATACATGTGAACATGATATATTAAAAATATATCTACATGGATGTATACAGATACAGAGAGAGACAGAGAATGAGTTAGTATTTTTAAGGATGTGTCGAAGTTTCAACAGCTACTTGTTTCTAGGATAATAAATTCATAGATATATATCCTATGACCTTCCTATAATTTTATTCGAAGTTAATAATCCAAGATAGTAAAAGATTTATGTAAAAGAACATAGTAGCATTATTTTAATAGCAAAATAACCGGAAACAAAATATTCAAAGTGAGAGGAGGCTACTAGTAAATAAATTGTAGCAAATCTATACAATCATTACAAATAAATTCAACTGAATGGCACAGAAAAACACCCTCAACAATGGTATACCAAGTGGGAAGAAAAACAATACAAAATTATATACATAGCATGTTTCAAATTTGTGGGGAAAATATCAAAGAACACAACATACATATGCATAGGAAAAAAATCAAGAATATATACCAGTGTGTAAAGAACCTGTTATGTCTGGGTGGTGGTATTTTTGTATCTTTCATGTTTTTCTCTGTTTCCCAAATTTACACCATTTCCCAAATGGTGATGACAATGAAAAGTATTTGTTTTATATTTAGGGGAAAATGTACTTAAAAAACCAGGCATGCATGGTCAATTAACCAGAGATGCAAACAATCTAAATAACTTATTTGAATAGCATAAAAACCTGATATAATTTGTTAGTCCCAATTCTTAGGAAAAATATAAACAGAAAATAAGTACCTGTATCTCCTTTTTCAAACCATTGATTGAAGTTTGACTGTTTCTGTGGGGTTAGCAATCTAAAATATAGTAAATATAGTTTTTATATTATTTCCTAAGTTGATAAATTATTTCAGAAATTAAAGCATTTTCTTAGTTTTAAAAGTTACCTGAACTGCATAAAATTCTGTGAACTTTTAATAGCTGTAACATGTGAACATTTTGAGTGGTTATTCATAGCAGAGTCATTAAATATCTGAAAAAAAGAAATTAAGCATTAGAATTTGATACAAAAAACAATAAAAAATGTTTGGCTTGTCATGGCTGCTCAGAGCTTTCCAAGAACATCATCACCCTGGTCATCACCATTATTATTTACTAGAGGCCAGGTGCACAAAATTCATGCATGGGTAGGATCCCCTAGGCCTGGCCAGAGATCCGGCTGCCGGCTGGGGCCTTCCCCAGCTGCAGGCCAGGACCTTCCTTCTGTGCTGCCCCCTTGTGGTCAGCGCATGTCATAGTGAGCGATCGAACTTCTGGTCTCCGGGTCAAACTCCTGAGGGGACAATTTGCATATTAGGCTTTTATATAGAGGCCTGGTGCATGAATTCGTGCACTGGTGGGGTCCCTCAACCTGGCTGGCGATCAGGGCCGATGGGGGCCATCTCGCCCAGTCCTGATTGAGGCCGGCAGGCCAGACGGAGGGACTGGGGGAGGTTGGCTGGCTGTGGGAGGTTGGCTGTGGGAGTGCAATGACCACCAGGGGGCAGCTCCTGCATTGAGTGTCTTCCCCCTGGTGGTCAGTGCATGTCATAATGACCAGTCGTTCCACTGTTTGGTCAATTTGCATATTAGCCTTTTATTATATAGGATGACAGTTAATATTTCATTTTTAACTTTAGATATTAATATCTAAACCACTGCTTTACTACTGTTTGTATTGTCTGTTTCAAGTCTTTAATTTTTCCTGAGTCACTAATTTTAAACAGTCCCTGATTTTTCTTATTTAACCCAAAATGAAGATATTTTTATTTTAATGGAAAAGTTTATCCCATTTCTTTCTGTTTAACAGCCACTGGTCTTAATTTTATCATCTTGTTGAACTTTTAGATTATAGGAAACCTGGACCTTTAAGGAACACCTGTCTCTTAAAGAACAAGTGTTCTTTCAATGCCTGTTTTAAACAATATACATTTTTGCATATGTCTCCTAGTACAAGTATTTGTACAAGTATTTTAAGTATTTGTTTACAGTAGATGCCAAGAAGTAACACTGCTGAGTATGTGCACTTTTATTTTTAATTAGTTCACTGAACCAGTCCTCCAATGTAGTTGTATCAAATTATATTCCCACTATCATTGACCTCACTAAATGTTAGCAATTGTTTTGATGTTTGAAAACTGATAAGTGAAACCAGGCATCTCATTGGTTTAATTTGCATTTTCCTGTACTTGTGAGGTCAGCATCTTGTTATGTTTAGTGACCTTTGTCTTTCCTTTCCTGTAAACTACCTTATCTTTGACCATTTCTTATTCTTTTTTATTAATTTGTAAGAATTATTATGTATTTATTTGCATATTATACATTCTGGATATCAATCTCCTGCCCATTCCATCACTGTCTTTTTGTTGTTGTTAATCCTCACTTGAGGACATTTTTTCCATTGATTTTTAGAGAGTGGAAGGGATGGGGAGAGACAGAGAGAAACATCGATGTTAGAGAGAGACATTACTCTTACACACGCCCTGACCAAGGTCGGGTATTGAGCCTGCAACCAAGGCATGTGCCCTTGATGGAATCGAACCTGTGACCCTTCAGTCCCAAGGCCAATGCTCTAACCACTGAGAAAAACCGGCTAGGCCCATCACTGTTTTTTATTTTGCTAATATTATTTGTCATACAGAAGTTTATTTTGATGTAGTCCACTAATAAATTTGTCTTTTTTTGTTCCACACTTATAATTACTACATTTTGATAATATTTTAAAGTGTTTTTGGATGTTCTGGAATTAGTAGTGGTGATGGTTACACTACCTGTGAATATACTAAAAACCACTGAATCACACTCTTTAAAATGGCGAGATACGTGAATTATCTCAATACCAAAAGTAAAAAAGAAACATTTTGATATCTGGTAGTATGAGTGTCCCTACATTCTTTTTAAAAAAACCCATTTTAAATATATATGTTTTTGGTTTTTTTACCTCTGTAGTCATTTATTAACCTGTTAATGTAGGGAATCGCATCGATAGGTTTTTCTACATAACATTCCTTGGGAAAGTAAAGATAGCTTCTTTTTAGAATTGGTTTAGATATCCTTTTTGTTGTATTAATTGGTCAATTTTGGTGAATACTGCAAATTAAAATTTAACTGAATTCTATGTATGTTAGAAACAAAGTTTGCTAATTGTGTTATTCAGGTCCTCTATATCCTTATTTTTTATCTTACTTGATTTTTTTCCTGTGGCAAAAACTGTCAGTTTTCTATCCTATTCAAAATCTACTTTCCTTTTGTGTTCTGATTTCAAAAACCAAAACCAAAACAAAACCACATATATTTCTCAACCTTTCCCCAGATAGAGGTAGCCATATGACTAAGTTCTGGCCATTGAAACATTACTATAAGTTGTTTAAAGAGCTTCCAGGAAAGATCTTTAAGAAATGGGGCTGAGCTCTGGCCAGGTAGCTCAGTTGTTTGGAGAATCATCCTGATACTCCAAGGTTGTGGATTCGATCCCTGGTCAGGGTATATACAGGAATCACCAGTGAATGCATAAATAAGTGGAACAACAAATCGATGTTTCTCTTTCTCCTCTCCCCCTTCCTCCTCTCTCTCTCTCTCTCTCTCTCTCTCTCTCTCTCTCTCTCTCTCAAATCACACTCTAAAATCAATTAAACACACACAATTTTTTTTTAATGGGGCTGAATCAGCTAGCCTTGATCTCCTTCTTTCCTGCCTAGAAGGCAGATATAATGGCAAAGTTGCAATGGTTAGCTTCTAATCATGATGTGACCTTGAGGCAAAAGCTTAGCATTTAAGGATAGCAGGAAAAGAAAGCATAGATGTAGCCTGAGAAATAATGAAATTGTGGAGATGGTGCTATTAGCCCTACTAAAGTGAACCTGAGTCACTTTAGAATTTCAAGAGAAAAATATATGTTTATCTTCTTTAACGTTATTATTTCATGGTTTGGTTTTATATTGTTTCACATGTAGCCAAATTCAGAGTCAGCACTATTTTTGATAGAGCGATCATGTTTTAACTGTGGATTCAATTGCTTCCTTGAAATTCTATCGATTTTTCCTTTATATGTTTTGAAACTATCATTTTGTGCATCATGGTTATGACTTCTTGGTGAATTATTCTTTTTAAAAACATGAAATATATTTATCCTTACTAATGTTTTTAAATCTTGAACTCTATTTTATATAGCATTGTTACATTTGGTTTGGCTTTGTTTGCATTTGCCTGATGTATATTTTTCATCCTTTTATTTTCAGCCTTTATTTGTCAAGTTGTTTCAGCTGTTCTGTTTTAGTAGTATTTAGTTGTATTTTGTTTATATATTCCTTAGAAGCACCAATGTCAGATTTTTATTATTACTGATTTGTTCAAAACTATTTTTGGCACCTTGTTTTCTATTTAAAATGCTTTCTAGTGCCTGCCTGGCGTAGCTCAGTGGTTGAGCTTCGACCCATAAACCAGGAGGTCATGGTTCGAATCCCAGTCAGGGCATATGTGGAGGTTGCAGGCTCGATCCCCAGTGTGGGGCATGCAGGAAGCAGCCAATCAATGATTCTCTCTCATCATTGATGTTTCTCTCTCTCTCTCCCTCTCCCTTCCTCTCTGAAATCAGTTTTAAAAATATGTTTTAAAAATAAAATGCTTTCTAGCTGTTTTATCCCCCCACCCATTTCCTGACTTCTGTTGGACTAATTTTCTTCATTTCATCTTTTTTCCTACTGTTTTAAAACTTACACATTCCATTTATCTACTGTTGGCTAACCTTAAGTGTTAACATATGCATAAATTTATATTTTTCCAGCAAACATAGAATTAATCAGTATTTATATATTCTCCTTACCTCCATCCCTGAATAAAAAAAGAACTTGAGTAAACTCGTTTCCCTCGTTTATTTTTCACCTTCATCCCATATTGGATATAATCTAGAATTTTAGTACCATATTTTTAAATTTTTAAAATTAATACATATTTAGAATTAATGTTTCACTAATTACTTTGGTCACCACTATCCTTATATCTGTGTTATTAATTATGAGTTAATGGAAAGCAATTATATTTTTCATTGAGAATTTCATTCTGGACTATTTTCAGGAAGAATGAAGGAAAAGAGATGTACCACACCAGAAGCTAGCTTTCTGGGTGGTGTGCTCCTTGTTCTTCATGCAAATCAAGAATCACTCAGAGTACCACCTCTCTCTAACCCAAGCTCCTATATTCACTGCTTCTACCTGGAGACAGTAAACCCATTGCTGACACCTGGCCAAAGGCAGAAGGATTATGAGATGAACAGATGTTAATGAAACTAACACCTACTGAAGTAACCCAATCAATTGCCCTATTCATTGCTCTCAGCTCTATAACTTCGATAAGCGTATTCTATGCAAATCCTGGGCTACAAGTTCCCTCTTCAATCCAATCCTGTTTTCATCCTTCAGAAATATCTCAGTTTTTGGTCTACTGGGTAAAGGGCTTGGTATTTTTAAATATTTTTTCTATTTTTAGGAGTACATGAGAAGGCTACAGTATATGCTCAGGCTGCCTTGTTGAAACTCCTTTTTTTTAGACCCTGAGGTTGTACTAATGGCTGATATAATCCTATATAATAAAAGCCTAATATGCTAAGTGTCCAGTCATCCGGTCAACCAATCAAAGCGTAATATGCTAATGATATGCTAAGGCCGCTCAACTGCTCGCTATGATGTGCACTGACCACCAGGGGGCAGACAGTTGACTGGTTGACCAGTCGCTATGACATGCACCGACCACCAGGGGACAGACGCTCTGATCGGTAGGTTAGCTTGCTGCTGGGGTCTGGCCGATTGGGACTGAGCGAGACGGGCCAGACATGCCCTGGAACGTTCCCGTGGTCCCTCCCCAGCTGTCCAATCTCCCCCCGTCCTTCCCCGGCCCCGATCGTGCACTGGTGGGGTCCCTCAGCCTGGCCTGTACCACTTTGATTTTTTCTGAGAGCAAACAAGACATGCCTTTTGTACTTAGCTTTTTTCTCTTTGAAAGAGAAATCATTCATACTACATTCATACTACATCACAATCCAGGCTGAGGGACGCACCTCCCCCTCCCCCCCGAAGTGCACAAATTTCATGCCCCAGGCCTCTAGTATATTTATAACACACACACACACACACACACACACACAGAATGTCCTAAATAATGCAAGCAAGTATTTAATTTATACTATTAAAAAAGAAATACCTACCTGCATATTGTTTTCTTTTTGTTTGGAGTCAACACTGCCAAGCTTTGACTGCTTCGTAGAACTGTCTTCTTTTTTATCTAGGTTATTAAATTGAATAACTTCAAATAATTTCCAGAGATTAGACTCAAATATCATACCCAATATTTAACCTAACCTTGTAATTTAAAAAAAGTCACATGAATACTTAAATTAAAATATAGAATTATGAAATTATTATACAAATCTTAATTCCTCACTATATAATAGCTATTACAATAACTATGACTGTAAAATGAAATCCAGCTGGCAAAACTACATCTTTATAATGGGGAACCAAAGACAGAGTGGTAATATTAATGACCAGGGGACAAAAATAGCCAATATACTTATCTAACACAATTGTAGTTAATCTAATATACAGATCTATTGAATGAATCAAGATTCAAATATCTCAGTGACTAAGTCAAAAATATCATTAACACAAGTCAGCTACCCACTCATTAATAAGACTTCTCAAATAAAGAATATATAATTATCCATCCTCCTCTGATAGCTGTGCAACCAGATCAGAACACTTTTTTTAAAAAAATGTAGTATGAATGATTTCTCTTTCCAAGAGAAAAAAGCTAAGTACAAAAGGCATGTCTTGTTTGCTCTCAGAAAAAATCAAAGTGGTACTTTCCTGAGTTGATAGGTTTCTAGCAGTTTGTTTTTGGTTATATCAAATGATAACTAAAATTGCTTCTTCCTATTTCTTCTTCTAGGTGTTTGCAAAGAAAACTAAGTTTTTGGAAATAAACAGATACTGTACCTATAACTCTTGGTTCTGAAGATAGAATATTTATTGGTCTGACTAATTTCTGAGATTCATTTGGAAGAAATAATTGACTTTTCTGAGAGGTTTTATTCAATATAAGTACATGTTGTTCATCTTTTTCAAAAATTCTAAAGAGAAGAGTAAATCACATTAAATATTAGTGAAGTAAAAAATTAACATATATTGACAGAAGAAAACTTGACTTTGGGTGGTAAACACATAATATACAGATGATGTATTATAGAATTATATACCTGAAACCTATATAATTTATTAACCAATGTCACCCCAATAAATTCAATAAAAATTAGCATATATTAAAGCCAGAAGAAATATTTAGATATGAGATAGTTAAAACTCCTTATTTCACAAGTAAAACTGAGTTCCAGAGAATTTAACAGATCTACCCAATATTATTAAGTTACTTACTAGTGTCACAGCTAAAAGACACCTTTCCTGATTAAGTCCAGTGCTCTTCTCAGTATACCACATTCTCATTTTTAAAACAGTAATTTTATGACTCTAAACATGTCAAAAATATTTTAAACTAAAATATCCTATATAATAAAAGCTTAATATGCTAAGTGTCCAGTTGTCCGTTCAACCAATCAAAGCATAATATGCTAATGATGTGCTAAGGCCACTCAACTGCTCGCTATGACGTGCACTGACCACCAGGGGCAAACAGTCAACCAGTTGACCAGTCGCTATGACGTGCACTGACCACCAGGGGGCAGACACTCCGACCGGTAGGTTAGCTTGCTGTTGGGGTCTGGCTAATCGGGACTGAGCGAGATGGGCTGGACACACCCTGAGCCCTCCTGCAGTTCCTCCCAGCTGGCCAACCTCCGGCATCCCTTCTCGGCCTGATCATGCACTGGTCGGGTCCCTCCGCCTGGCCTGTGCCCTCTCCCAATACAGGACCCCTCAGGGGATGTCGGAGAGCTGGTTTTGGCCCAATCCCTCAGGCTAGGCCGAGAGACCCCACTGGTGCATGAAGTCATGCACCAGGCCTCTAGTAATATTTATAAGTAGTATGCTTTAGATTTTGAAATACTTCAAACTTTAAAAATATTTATTTAGAAATAATCAACTAGCATGAATATAGAAACCATTAAAGCAACATTATGATCATAAGTCTTTTAAGTTTTTTACTGGAAGAGCAATTTCACTGAATTTTTTTTAAGTCAAAAAAATTTTTTTTAAATATTGATGATTAAATAATTTAAATAATTATGTTACTTGATAATAACTATCAAAATCTATATTAAATAAAAGGACTAATTACATAAGTTCCTTTCAATATAAAGAATTTTCATATTAAAAATTGTCAATAGCCTGGCCGATGTGAGTGTCAACCTATGAACTAGGAGGTCACGGTTCGATTCCTGGTCAGGGCACATGCCTGAGTTTCAGGCTTGATCCCCAGTGTGGGGCATGCAGGAGGCAGCTGATCAATGATGTTTCTCATCATTGATGTTTCTATCTCTCTCTCCCTCTCCCTTCTTCTATGAAATCAATAAAAATATATTTTTAAAAAATTTGTCAATAAAGTGAGATTCTGTACATTTACTATTTTTTTCTAACCAATTTGATTTACAAAATTAAAGACACATTACTGTGAATGTGAGACATGGGAGAGGGGGAATCAAGAAAATAACAGACCCAAGAAAGTGGAATCAGGAAAATTAATTTGGGAGAGGAATGTATTGAAAAATCAGGATAAAAGCAATGGAGCCATAGGAGAGAAACTTAAGAAGAATAAAAAAGGGTATAGGCAGATAAGAAAAACAGAAAGTTTATCAGACATAACAATAGTAATACATCTGTTTTTTCATCACACAATAACAGACAAAGTCAATCTTTTTTTACATGCCTCCAGCACTGATGTCTATTTTATCACCATTAGGATGAATGACAAGGAAACACATGATGCCACAATTCAGTAGCATTTTGGCTCATCTTCACTCTCTCTGGCAAAGGAAGAACTGGTCAAGCTGGTGACAGGATGATAAAAAGGTAAGTATGACCCTAACCGGTTTGGCTCAGTGGATAGAGCCTCGGCCTGCGGACTCAAGGGTCCCAGGTTCGATTCTGGTCAAGGGCATATACCTTGGTTGCGGGCACATCCCCAGTAAGGGGTGTGCAGGAGGCAGCTGATGGATGTTTCTCTCTCATCGATGTTTCTAGCTCTCTATCCCTCTCCCTTCCTCTCTGTAAAAAATCAATAAAATATATTTTTTTTAAAAAAAGGTAAGTATGTTGCTGCTCTTACTATTTTCCCATTGCTGACTCATCATGGAAAACTGGATGAAATATACAACTGACAGGTTATAAAACAGTGAATATGCTGCTGCTATCCCATTTCTCTTTACAAATTATCCTTGGCTGTACTAAATAACAAGCAAATTTGAAAATCAGCCCATAATATTTAAAAGTATAAATTAATATTTTTCATAAGAAATTAATAGAAAATAGCACGCACAAAATATGAATATAGATTCTGTATAAATATCAGTGGCTTGGGATAAAATATAGAATAAAATTGTTAGATGCAGAATATTTGTTCACATAAAATCCCATTTTAAAGTTTACCTATACCTTTCTTTCAATTCCTTTCTTTTTTCTATATTTTTAGTATTCTCTTCCAGATTCTTAGTTTCATAAAATCTTGTAATCTGCTAAAAATAAAAATGATAAAGCAAAATAAAATAATTACCTGAAAAGTATTAAGGAACATGCTTTACCTTAACTAATAAATATGATTTTTCTATATTACCACAAGATTTATATTGTAGCAAGTATAAGCTATTGTTTAGTGAAAGTTGCTAAATTAACAATAAATCCTACTTCTTTAATTTTTCCTTACATCTCCATTAGCAAACCTAGATTTCAATGAACTTCCACCTTTTAAATTTTTTTATTTTTTATTTTACTTATTTATTGACATTTACACTTTTTTAAAAAGGACAGTTAGAAGCAACGTAGACAGATTCCCTACTTAAGATACATAATTTCCACAAACTTTAAAGGAAGTCAAATGATATTACTTATCTTGAACCTCATACCTATGAATGATCAATATACCATATAACACAATTTTCAGAAAATTTAGAAAATTAGCTATTAAATTTTTCTCAAAATTTTGAAAAATTTAGACTTTGATTTGTTCACATACCTGTCAATGAAAGCCACATTTCAATAGATGGCACTAAAAATATATTCAAAAGCCTGGCTGGTGTGGCTCAGTTGGTAGGAGCGTTGTCCCATGCATTGAAAGGTGGCAGGTTTGATTCCCATCAGGGCCCATACCCAGGTTTCGAGTTAGGTCCCCCAGTCAGGGTGTGAACATGAGGCAACCAATCAACGTTTCTCTCTTTCTCCCTTCCTATTTCTAAAATCAATTTTAAAAATGTACTCAAGAAAATATCATGTACCATCAATCTTAAAGGCTAAACCTAGTTCTAGCCTAGCTCTATAAAGATTATAGTCATACATTTTCAAAATTAAGTCCTTTAAACCATTTACTGTCTTGTTCTCTTTTAATGCCTTTAAATTTTTGTTATTAAGCTAGATGATATTTTTTCATCATTTTCTTCCTCAGCCCCCAAAGAAAGTTAAACTAGTCCCCAAAATCCAGAGTTGGATATACTCAATACCTACATTTTGGCTCCAAAGGCAATCTGAGGCAAACAAATTATCATATGCCCTTGTCCATACGGAGGCTCTTTAAAAATAACTCTTCTAAGACCTTAAAGTAATATACCATTACACTTATACATTTATACACATAACATATACCTGGTTTAAATATTTAATTTCTATTTCCACTTCATCTACTTCTTTCTTCAATTCACATGAAATTTTGGAAAAATTGTTGGCATGTCTAAGAATATCTTGTGTTTTACATCTCAAATTAACACTTATATGTTAAGGAACTATGTTATGCAAACAGATTTTACATTTATAATACATATATTATATCAGAAATAATATCATGTAACATTTATATATACTTATGTTCCACATAAACAATAATTAATATTACTAACAGTATATGAAAACAGAATATAAACATCTGTCAAACTGACAAAGAAAATTTATTGTTTATCTATGTTATATATTGAGCTTACAGTAAAAATAACATTTCAGCCCTAACCGGTTTGGCTCAGTGGATAGAGCATTGGCCTGCAGACTGCAGGGTCCAGGTTCAATTCCAGTCAAGGGCACCTAACTTGATTGCAGGCTTGATCCTCAGCCCTGGTCCAGGTACACGTGGGAGGCAACCAAATCGATGTGTCTCTCTCTGTGTCTCCCCCCACTCCCTTCCACTCTCTCTCAAAATTATCCTCTGGTGAGGATTAACAAAAACAAAACACATTTCATCCAAAATACTTAAGATTTTTTTCTTTCAGTTAAGTATTTTTACAGTGTGGTTTTTTGCTTTTGTTTTTTTTACCCAAATTCATCATGTCATTTGACATGACTAATAATAAACAACCAATTCAGGTTCAAATCTAATTTCCCGTGTTTCCACATTATTTCTTTTTTCCAAAGTCAACATTAAAAATCCACCCTTTTCCTGCTCTGTAAGGTTCATCAGTGTACCCTGCAGAACTCAGAAGAGAGCTAGAACTTCTATCTGGACTTTCTGCTTGAATTGAATTTATACCCAATTTCAAGTAGAGAATTTTTCAGCTGTTAATAGATATTCTGCATGGTTATTAGCTACTACAATTCCCTAAGTTACTCTAAAATTCATTTAAGAGAATTTAAAAATAAATACTAATAGGACAGTAAACAAAAAACTCCATAGAAAATCTGCCAGGCCTTTTCTATTCTGCCTTAAAATATGACTTGTATGAACATAAAATTTCAGATGAACATTATTTATAATGCTATGCCATTATCAAAAGTATCAATTTAAATTTTAAGGTATAGACATTTAAATCATCTCCCTACCTGTAATACCTCTTCTTGTTTGCCATGCATTCACACATCTCATCCCTCCTACATCCAACTCCCTACTGCTGTACCTTCTGCATCTACTAACCTCTGCCCTTTCCTATTGAGAAGTTAAAACATAAATGGGCAGCAGATGAACAACCAAGAACAGAAAAAGCTAAAACCCAAACACGGAGAGAGCAAGCAGCAAAGGAATAAAAGGGTAATTGAGGATGAAGCAGAATGAAGAAAGATAGAGTACAGGGATAAAGAAGACTTAGTATAACAGTGGAGTTATAATCTGATAGGAAAGCATATGAAGGATTGTGGAGGTTGGAAGAGGATTAAAGTTCCAAGTTCATCACCAGGCAAGATCTTGACAAACAAATAAGACTTAGACCAATTAAGAATTACTTAAGACTCTAAGACAATGCCACTGTATCAAAATATTTGCCTATTCATCTCTCTCCCTACTAAAAGCTCCTTGCAAGAAAGCTCTGTATCTTCTTGAGCACTGTCTGGCACAAGGCAGATACCTAATGAATTCCTATAGGTGAATGAATGATTGTGACTCCACCTCCTTACCGCTTTCCATCCTAACAAGTTAGAATCAACTACTTAATTGGAATTCTTTCTTTGGTAAGACAGAGCAAGATGACTTTTTCATTGGTTTGGTTGCTAAGACATACCACTTAAAGCCAGATACATATAGCACTTCATTCTCATTAAAATTGCCTCTTCTAATCACATGCACATATATGAAAATTAATCCCAGATGAACTTTAAAGTAAACTCTAAATTTTTTGAATTAAACCAAAAACAAACCCATGTGATTCTCACCAAAGAAACACAGTAACAATTAAAATGCAGAAATAATACTTATCTAATAAAAATTCTAAGTAGAAATACTATTGTGGATACATATGTAATGTCCATTTAGTAAGTGATGGAAAGGGAGCAGGCACTGAAAAACAAAGTTGTATTTTAGATTGAGTTATTATTTTCATTATAAAGATGTCACTATTAAAACAATATACAATAAAAATGTTAATACCTAGAAATTCCATAAAAATAGTTTCATTCATTTTTAGTTGTTCAGTACATGCCAACACTCTGTTTTGAATTTCTTCATGTTCTCTTTTCTTCTCATAATATTCACGTGAAAGGGGTGCTTCTGAGTATTTTAGTTGGTATTGCTTCAAAACATCTTTATACTGACATATATAACCATGGTACATTTTTCTGTTAAAATTTTTAAAAATTATGTCATCATCAGAGTATATTTTAAAACTATCACTTGTTAAAGTCTACTAAATTAAGCATAAAAGGCAAGTCTAATACCTACTTATCCCTGCTTCCCTAAATACCATTTGTCCTTCAGATTTTCCTTAACTCCATCACACTTTCCAACTCTTATACTTTTTCTTCACTACCTGAGTTATTCACTCCTTAATCCACTTCTACTTCCATTCTCGCCATTCTGATGAAACTACCCTTCCCAAGGTCACCGATGAGCTAATTTGTCGAACTCAGTGATCTCTTTTTATCTCTCTTTCCAACTGACATTACAGAACCTGGCTCTTTTTAAAAATATATTTTTATTAACTTTTTTAGAGAGAGGAAAAGAGAGGGGGAGAGAGAGAAATGATGTGAGAGCGAAACATCGATGGGCTGCTTCCTGCATCCTCCCCCACCAGGGATTGAGCCTGAAACCAGGCATGTGCCCTGACTGGGAATCGAACTGGCAACCTTTTGGTACATGGGATGACACCCAGCTAACTGAGCTACACTGGCCAGGGTACAACCTGGTTCTTTTGATCACTTCTTGAATTTCTATTCTCCCTAAGTTCTGAGTCTCTATTCTCCCCAATTCAGCTACTTCTATAACTACGGCTTTTAAATCTTCTTCAATTATCTAAGCCAAAATGATTACAAAAAGTCATGTTCTATGTGTTAGAATTCTGGTTTCACAACCATTCTGGTATACTTCAAAACTATTTTAGAAAGAAAATTTCAGCACTGTTTGGAACTCCATTAAGGTTATGTGAAATTCAAACTGTAATGTCCATCAACCAAGTTTTATTGGAATAGTCATTCATTTCTATATTGTCTAAAGTTGCTCTTGCACCACAACAGCCGAGTTCAGTAGTTACAACAGAGACTGTGTAGCCCACAAAGCCTAAAATATTCATTATCCTCTTTTTACCCAAATTCTTATAAAATACTTAGCTTCAAGAATTAATACTCATAGAAAATATTCTAAAAATATATAATCTTCATGTTCCTCAAAATTTTGTAAATTTTATAAATTAAGCCATACTATATGGGGAAATTATTTTAAAATACAATAATGGTTATCTCACTTCAGCACAGGAGTAAAAAAGAACAAGTATTCATAAACTGCTTGTATAGTGAGAAGAAATGTAGGGCTAACAGCCTTGTACTAGCAGGTCTGAATCTTGAGAACGTTTTAATATCCCTTTTAACCAGATAAAGCAGTTGAGCCCAAACAAGCTCCTATTCCTCTAAATGCATATTTGCTAATTAGGTGCTAATTTAGGGAAAATGCCTGTAAGAAAACTGAGTCTGAGACACCAGTTTCTGATGAGATTAGCATACCACATCTATCCTGTTCCTATTACATATTCCTGCCCACTCTTCTAACATACTCTGTATAGGAACTCTGAGAGAGCCCAGCATAGCCAAGTCATAATTCAAGAAGAGTCATTACTATCTTATCTGTTGCCAACTATACTAGTTTTTGTGACTGCCTGGGACAGGGATGGGAGATTAGGAAAAACAAGGAGCTGGTGCCTTTACTTCTTTCATTACCCATGATACCAACAAATAGACTCTTTTCTTTTTATAGATGCCTGGTATTGACTCATCAACTCAATCAACCCATGTGGCTGGTTTAAGAAAGAAAAATATAGCTTTAACAAATAGCTATGGCGAGCTAAGAGAAGTAATCCACAACAAACAAGATCAAAAAAGTCCATGTTTGTACTGGTTTTCGTTAGTCCCTCATAGAATCATTTTAATTACTTTTATAACCAAGGCTTGCATTGAGAGATGTTATCAGAAGCAATAATATATATTTTATTTTGGGGAGAACATTGAAGATACTGATTATCACATTGCATAATTTCCCCTTTATGAGAACCAAGAGGAGAAATTTCTCTCAATTCTTATTACCAGGAAAAACCTCTACTTATCCTAAGCAATTGAACTGTTTTTTGTTTTTAAAATGATTACTCTGAATTCCAAACAGATCACATTTCCATAATGTCTTGGCTACTACTAGGAATTTCAAAGCCTAATTTATGCCTATATCTAACAAATATGCAAAACCATGTAGTATGAATTTCTATCCTGATCAAAGGCTTCATTTTTCTATATTATCCTTACTTCTCTGTAGCCTTGACTTTTATATTTAGTTTTCTTTTAACACTGTGGTACTATTTATACAAAGTATCTCAAATGCTTTTTGGATGGAAGCATGGTCTATAAATGACAAAGTAACAGTCTGCTTTACTAATTCCACCCTCTGCCTTTTCCTTGAATGATCATGTATTCTACCTTTCTCTTATTTTTGCTCTATACATTTTTCTGGGCTATCTCATCTATTTTCATGATTTCAAAAGCCAATGAAGATCAAATCTATACCTTCAGTCTCTACCTTCTTTTAATATGAAGGATATTGCAATATCAGCAGTGAGACTGGCACTACCAAGTTCCTTCCCTGGGAACTACACTCAGCATCTCATTATCAAGCCACCATAACCTTGAACTGTGCCTGTGAACAGCTGTGCTTTATCTCAATTTACTTTGTGCATTCCTGCTTTTACTATAATGTTAATGTTATTTGGTATGATTTAATAGATTATTTTTAGGTCCAGAAATGCTCAAAAATGTTTCCATATAAATTGATGGTAACTGCTTCTTCACTTGACGCCATTTCAGCTTATGAAGGATTTCATAAGAATGCTCTATTTTGGGGTTGCGGGTAAAACCTGTATTCCAAATTTTTCATAAGCTAAATCTACAGCTAACTAGTCTCCCAGATGCTTGCTTATAACAATTTAGTCATAACTGAAGCACTATTAATTGAAGCACTCTGCTACAGCAATTGCTATTGATAGTTTCTATTTAAGGACATATGTAAACAAATCCAGGGTTTGATAGAGCTATATAACAAATAGGTAGGCCTTTAATGGTACCCCAAGAGTCCAAAACATGGCTTTACTTGACCAGAGGGAAGGAGGAGTGAGGACTAGGTGAAGGTGGGCAAAGTGGGAAAAATGGAGACATCTATAATAGTATAAACAATGAAAATAAAGTTAAATAAAAACAAAGCAAAAAACTACCCCCCCCCACTGTACAAAATTTCTGCATTCTTACAAAGCATATCCTATTAATACTTACAGGATTGATAAGCTTAAATATAGGTACTCGTTCTGGCTGGTGTAGGTCAGTGGTTAGAGCATCAGCCTGCTTACCAAAGGACCCAGTTTCTACTCCCAGTCATGGGCACATACTTGGGTTGCAGTTTTGATCCCCGCCCCAGTCAGGGCATGTGTGGGAGGCTACCATGCAATGTGTCTCTCTCACATCGATGTTTTTCTCCCCCCCCCTCTTTCTCTCTCCCCCTTGCCCCCCTCCCTCCCTTTCACTCTAAAAATCAATGGAAAAAATACCCTCGGATGAGGTTTAACAAAATAAAAGCATTTATATACTGTACTTGTCTTTTTCAATTGTTTCCTGATAAATAGTAAATTGGTCCTTCATATAGTCTTCATATTTATGAAAAACATCACATGTTGGCTTCCAACTATGGAAAAAAATATGATAATTAGCATCTCAGAATGATAAATGAATTGTTAGAGATCATGAAAATGAATGCAACCATTTAAAAATAAACAAATTTTTCCCTTCCTGGAGAAAACAAGCTTACATCAAGAAAAATAGTCCCATCTCCCATCATCACTACCATCCTTCATGCAATCATACATATGCTCAAATATCATTATCTGTTAAGCTATAATAATAAAAGCATAATATGCAAATTGACTGAATGACCAAACAGCAGAACAACCGTCTGGATGACCTTCCAGACGACCATGCTATGACATGCACTGGCGCCAGGCCAGCCAAGGCAGGTGCAATGCGATTAGTGGGGCGAGGGGGGGGGACTGCCATCGCCCCACGATCGTCCCACAGAGGGTGGGCGGGGTGGGCAGGGCCTCCCTCTGCAGGGCCATTGATCATGGGGCTCCCAGAATGCAAGAAGGCGCAGGCCAGGCTGAGGGACCCTCCCCACCCTCGAGTTCACAAATTTCATGCACAGGGCCTCTAGTTTTTACATAAAACCCATTTTGGAATCGTAACTAGGGAAGCAGCAATTGTAACATGACTGGACTGTGTACGTATTGCTATGGCATTTCTAGAATATCCTCTGCAACACTGCAATATCCGGCTTTCTTTCTCATCATACTTCTAAGGTCTTGGCTAAGAAATTCTTTTGGAGTAAGCATTCAAAGAGCTAGGATAAGGCCTAAAGAGAGGTTTTTTCTCCTTTGAAACTTAAAAAGCCGGGTTGTTACACCCTCCTGAACTAAAATAGAAACTAGGCCAAAATGAATTATAAATGAATTATAAAATCAGATGGTAATAGTAAAATAAATAATCATCTTATACATTTTTATTACATGACTCAAAAAGTGTTACCAATGTGAAAAATCTAAAATTAGCATATATCATGGCAGCCTCCATTCTAAGTATTGTTCAAATATTTTCTCTAGCTCTTCTTTCTAATCTTTTTTATTTTTTCAGATTCAAAAAGTATAAATGCCCACTTTGGAAGCACAAAATATCATCCATATAGTTTCAACACTGAAAAATAACTAATATTATTGTTTTAATAAATTGTTTCCTTTTGGCTTTTGTATCAATTTAGGGTGTCTTTCTTTTTAATCTGCATGTAGTCATATTTATCCATTTCCTATGTGATTTCTACTTTTGGTGACATATTTGGAAAAGTTTTTTTCTCTCAAAGATTATGATGTCATCCATATTTTTTTCTAGCACTATTATGAATTCATCTTTAACATTTAAATTTCTAAACCAGCATGCTGACATCATAAACTAGAGGTGGTCACGGCATTAAACTCAACAGATCCTACTAACGGTCCTCAGAACCCAGCAGAGATGAAATTGTATAAAGTACAATACATCTTGAATACAGCAGGTTCTCTGGCAAAACTATCAGTTCTTTCCCAGTACCCACTGCAGGTAGTTGATGGAAACCCACTGGTAAAACCCATTACAATAAAACCTAAATCAAAAAAAATTTTTAAAGTTCAACAAGATATAGTTTTTATAGATCAGATAGCCAAAAAATTTAAACATTACTAATTCCTGTTCTGGCAAGGTTTTGAGGAAATAGAAACTCTCATACCTTGTTGGTGGGAGTATAAAATTAGTATAATCTTTTTGAAGAGCAGTTTGACATTATCAAATGTTTAAATGTGCATGCATACTCTTTGATTTAACAATTTCACTTCTAGAAGTTTATCCTATAGCATTAGGTCTATAAATGCGAAAGGATACCTGGACATGTTGCTTATAATACAAAAAAACTGATAACAACCTAAATGTCTATTAATAGAAGAATGGTTAAATAACTTAGGATACATCAATACTAAAAAATACTATGGAGCTGATAAAAAAAGAAGCCTATACATAATCATTACATATGTAATATCATTTACATTACATATTGTTAAAATTAAAAAAACAAGTTGAAGAATAAATACGGTATACTCCCATCTTTGTAAAAAAAAAAAGATATGTAGATAGATGTGCATGCAGTATCCTATATAATAAAAGGCTAATATGCAAATAGACCGAACAGCGGAATGACCAGTCACTATGACACGCACTGATCACCAGTGGGCAGATGCTCAACACAGGAGCTGACCCCTGGTGGTCAGTGTGCTCCCACAGGGAGAGTACCGCTCAGCCAGAAGCCTGGCTCACCTCTGCGGCAGCACTAAGGATGAGCGGGGAGCGAGCCTAAGCTGTCAGTCAGACATCCCCCGAGGGCTCCCTGACTGCAAGAGGGCACAGGCCGGGCTGAGGGGACAACCCCCCAAGTGCATGAATTTCATGCACCAGGCTTCTAGTATGTAATAATATTGAAAATTTATTAAAAAGGTCTGTTACGGCCCAGCCAGTGTGGCTCAGTAGTTTGATCATTGACCCATGAACCAAGAGATCACTGTTCATTTACCAGTCAGGGCCATGACCGGGTTTCAGGCTCAATGTCAAGAATAACTATGAATTTTTTTTTAAAGTAATGAGGTAAAAACCAAAAAGGCTTATTAAAATTTTGAATAACAAAATATTTTAAAACAAATATGAATCTAAGATATAGTACTTAATACAGACAATGATCCACATAAAATTAAATACAAAAACTTAACACATTTTATTTTTTTCATATATATATTTTTTAAATCTTTATTGTTGAGAGTATTACAGATGTCCCCTACATTTCCCCCCTCCACCCAGTTCCCACCCTGCCCCAGGCCTTCACCACCCTATTGCCTGTATCCATAGGCAATATATCTATAATAATGAAAGCGTAATATGTTAATTAGACCAGACAGCCGAACAACCTTCCAGATGAAGCTGGGGCTGCGAGGGCCAAGGCAAGCTGCAGTGGCTGCAAGGGCCGAACTCCTTGCATGAATTTCATGCATCAGGCCTCTAGTATGCATATAAGATCTTTGGTTAATCTCTTCCCATCCCCCAATCATCCTTCCCTCTGAGTTTCGTCAATCTGATCCATGTTTCCATGCCTCTGATTCTATTTTGTTCATCAGTTTATTCTGTTCATTAGATTTCTTGTTCATTTAATTTTTAGATTCAGTTGTTGATAGATATGTATTTATTGCCATTTTATTGTTCACATTTTCTTCTCTTTCTTTCTCTTAAATACCCTTCAACATTTCATGTAATACTGGTTTGGTGATGAACTCCTTTAGCTTTTTCTTGTCTGTGAAACTCTTTATCTGATCCTCAATTTTAAATGAGAGCTTTGCTGGGTAGAGTAATCTTGGTTGTAGATTCTTGCTATTCATCACTTTGAATATTTCTTGCCACTCCCTTCTGGCCTGCAAAGTTTCTGTTGAGAAATCAGCTCATAGTCATATGGGTGCTCCTTGGTAAGTAACTACTTCTCTTTTGCTGCTTTTAAGATTGTCTTTAACCCTTGGCATTTTAATTCTGATGTGGCTTGGTGTGGGTCTCTTTGGGTTCCTCATGTTTGGGACTCTCTATGCTTCCTAGACTTGTAAGTCTATTTCTTTCCACTGGGTAGGGGAAGTTTTCTGTCATTAATTCTTCAAATATGTTTTCAATATCTTGCTCCCTCTCTTCTCCTCTGGCACCCCCATCATGTGAATGTTGGTACTCTTGAAGTTGTCCCAGAGGCTCCTTATACTATCTTCATATTTTTGGTTTCTTTTTTTTTTTGCTCTTCTGATTGGGTTTTTTTTTGCTTCCTCATATTCCAAATCATTGAGTTGATTCTTGAAATCCTCTACTCTCCTGTTGAATCCCTGTAAATTATTCCTTATTCAGTAAGTGTATGCTTAATTTCTGACTGGTCCTTTTTCATATCTTTGAAATTCTCACTACAATCCTTGAAGTCTCACCAAGTCCTTGAAAATCTCATTAAGGCCCCTGAGTAACCAGATAACCATTATTTTGAACTCTGTATCATTATTTTGAACTCTGTATCCAGCAGTCTCTGCATTTTGGCTGCTTCCCTGTGTTTGTTTCTATGTGCTTGGTAGAGCTGTTACATCTCCTGGAATTGGCAGAGTGACTTTGTGTATTAGGTGTCCTATGGGGCCCAGTGGCTAAGCCTCCCCAGTCACCTGAGCTGAGCACTCTAGGTGTGCCTCTGTGTGGGCTGTATGCAGTCTTGTTGTAGTTGAGCTTTGATTGCTGTTGGCATCCCTGGGAGGAATTGACCTCTAGGCCAATTGGCTATGAGGACCAGCAGCATCTACAATGGAAGAGCTTCTGTGCAAGAGATACCCCTATGGAGAAGGATTTGTTTCTGTGGAGCTTTGGTGCTCACTGAGTCTGTCCCTTGAATGTATCACTTGTGAATGTGTAGAGTGGTAATCAGGTATGGTCTGAAGCTGTCCACCAGTGCACTGGCTCTGGAGTCTCCCAGGAGGTGCAAAGTCAGCCACTGCCTGGGGCCATCCAGCAGGAGCTACCATCACCTGCAAATGGCTCTACTTGTGTTGGGCAAGAGCCTAGGTGACGCCCAGCGTTGAAGCAAAGCAGGCTGGTGCTAGTGCCGGCTCTTGGGCCTTTTATTGATAGGTTTGGAGCATGCTGATGCCAGCTGCTGCTTGTTTAAGAGATTTTAACAAAGTCTGAACACTGACCCAGGACAGGCCATTCATATGGAAAAACAGCTGCAAACAGCTTGGATGGGGCTGCAAATTGGATGGGGTGGGGTCTCAGGGAATCACCAGAGCAGAGTGAACAGTGTGAGCCACACTCATGGAAACTCAGTTATGGCTGCCAGTTAGCTCTGCAACAGGGGAGAGCCCAGCACAGTAACAATGACCCCTGTGAGCACCCCTGTCTGAGAGAAAGCAGCCCCCTAGTTCCTGCCCCAATGCCAGACAGTCCAGTTCTTCCCCATATGTCCCAGCTTCCCCCAAAGCTTCCACCTGGTGCTGAAGCTCAGAGGAAGCGGGATCATGTAAGTTTGTGCACAGGCCCTTTAAGAGAACACCCGGGACTCCAACAGCTTCTGTGTCACTCAGCCACATCCCCACTGGTTTTTACAGCCCAAGTTACAGGGACTTCTCTACCCAACTCTGGAACCCTGGGCTAGGGGTCTGGTGTGGGTCTGAGCCCCCCTTCTTCTCACGAGAAGCCTTGGAGATAACCCTCCCAATTAAAAAAATGCCACACCTAGGCGTTGGACCAGCATGTTCCATGCCTCCATCCTTCCCACTGGTCTTAATGTGCTTTTTGCTTTTTTGCTCTAGTTGTAGGACTTCCATTCAGCCAGCCTTCAGATGGTTCTGAATGACTGTTGTTCTGTATTTTAGTTGTAATTTATATGTGGCTGTGGGAGGCGATGAGTACTAGTGTTTACCCTTGCCATGTTGGTTCTCCTCTCCTCTAACATTTTATTTTTAAGTATTTGTATATACAATAAAGTCCCATTGACAATTCTTTATTTCAAAATGGTTATATCTTACAATGGATTTAAGTACTAGAACCTAAAGCCTGATGCCATATTGAAATAATTCTTAACATATTGAATACTTTTATTTTGGAAAGCTACTAATTTTAGACTAGATTCTACTAGACAAAAATACAATCTTGAAAATTCAAAGATGTAAATTATTTCAAATTTATTTATGTAATAGTAATTTTATATATGAATCTAGATTATTCAAAATTCAGTATTTAGACTAGTTGGATTTGAATTAGAGAGATCTTATAGCACTTTTTTTCTTTTGAACTTCCTGTGATCCCTTCTTACAAGGCAATTTAAGACTTAATTCATTATTGTGCTAATATAAAATACTATTATAAAACAGCAGATTCTAAACTCAGAAACCTTGAATAAAAGAATCTAGTGACAATTACTCAAAGTTCTTTTCTTTCAAATACTCACTTACTACAGTTGTCTTTGATTTCCTTACTATGTTTACAGTAATAACCAATTTCCTCATCTGTTGTATTTATAGTTTCCTGTATCTTACAAATTATTGCTTTATTTTGTTTAATATCTTCAAAGCTTTCTGAAAAAAAAAAAGAAAATATTTATTTTCTTAAGGTAAAAAGCATAAAATTAAAGTAAACAAATACAATAGAAAAAAAGAGTTTGGCAATTTACCTAAAAGGAAGATAGCCAGAGAGTGGAGCGAAAATGAGATGGGAAGGGCCCTATACTGAAAAGCACAGAACCAAAGCCAGGCTTGCTCCTAGACCAGTGATGGTGAACCTTTTGAGCTCGGCATGTCAGCATTTTGAAAAACCCTAACTTAACTCTGGTGCCGTGTCACATATATAAATTTTTTGATATTTGCAACCATAGTAAAACAAAGACTTATATTTTTGATATTTATTTTATATATTTAAATGCCATTTAACAAAGAAAAATCAACCAAAAAAATGAGTTCCCGTGTCACCTCTGATACGCGTGTGTGTCATAGGTTCGCCATCACTGTCCTAGACCCATAAGCTAAGGATTTGTGTTTAAGATTGAAGAGAAAGATAAGCATCCTTTTTTATTGTAAGAAGGTTAGAGTGATATCTAAGGTCAATGACATCTAATGAAGCCATGAGTTCATGTAAATGTTTACTCATATATGATACTAACATAAGAGTTTTGTTTTTGACAAATGTGAAATTTCGATTCAATTCCATGTCAATTAATTACTAAATGCACCCTCAACTCATTTCTTTTTAGTAGTGACTAAAACAGATAAAAGTAAAATATAGTTTCTTAAAAAGATTAAAATAAAATTTTAATAGCCTGTATTCTTTTCTGTTGCAGAAAAGACAACTAAATTCTACCTTTTCAGAACTATTAAGAAATTAATGGTTCTATTTTCTTTTCATAGTTTTTCTGTAGAATCTTAAAATACTGTATTTATGTAATTTGCTTTGCCATCTCACTCTTAATATTATTTTCAGTATTATCATCCCTGAAAAATATGGCATCCATCAATCCTGGCCCCTGACTCACTCAAATGTTTGAAATAACCTGTGTTATTTGAGAAAAATATTATTTTCAATTGCACTTAAAGGGTCATTTCAGCTTAAAGCAAAATTCTTCTACACAAATTAAATACTGAATACAGAATAGGACATTATTAGGCACTCAACAGAACTGGCACAAAAGTTATAATGCCAACTATAAGTTACCCTAAGCAAGGCAACCGCATATTACCTTGCATGCCATAAGAAATTAAAAACTAAGACATTTTTATCATGCAAAACTACTTACTATTAATTCGTCGAATCATATCTTCTTTAGTACTTATATCTTGCTCATACTGAAAAACTAAAATAAATAATTCTTTTGTGACTTCACTTCATTGTTAAAATAGCAAGTGATCATACAAATAACTACATAATTCTTTATTTTTATTTCATACCTACCAAATTCTAGCAAAAGTCTGTCCAAACTGACAAATAGGCTGTCATTCATCTTGGATACTGTGTTTAAGAAAAAAAAAATTATCAGGAAGGATTTTCTGAAGTCGTATGCAAAACAGCACATATTCAGTAAGACATTTGTTAACATAGCATTATTACAGGAAAATGTGGATGGAGCAAGAACTGGGGAGGGCAGAGACCTAGTGGGCACCTCACTCAGTACTTGCTGACCGCTGTTGCATGGCAGACTTCCGGGGGAGCCCTCACACTTGTTTATAGGTGCTTGTCTGAATGCTCTGGAGTCCACAGACACCCACAACTCTCAAAAGAACATGCCCTACGAAATAAATATCTCTGAATATGTCCTTTCCGAATGTGTCCTTCTAGGAGTAGCAAGACGGCGAAGGAAAGCCCCTGACCAACCTACAGCCACTGTGCGCTTACGAATCGACCACCAAGAACGCAGAAGGCGGGGTCTCCCGGGACCGCCACGTCGGCTTACGAAACACGCCCGAGGCGCGCTTCGCCCCCCTCCTAACCCACCCGGGTTCCGGAGCCTCCTAACCCGGTTCTGGAGCGGCCCTTCCGTGCTCTGCGCGCGCTCTGTGGCAGGAACAGCGTCTGCTTCCCTTCACCTGAGTCTGCCCCACCCTCCGCACACGCGGCGGCCGCCCTGTGGCGGAGGCAGGCCACGCGCCTGGAAGTTTCTAGAAGCCCCTAGAACGCGCCCTCCCGCTGTTTTCTGGAGACAGGGCCCGCCAGCTTCCCCACCTCACAGCCACCGGCGGGGGGAATAACTGCCACACACAGCTCCCTTCCCCATCCACCTCACCGGCCCCTCGGGACCGAACGTCCACTCCCTTCCTTTCCCGGGTCCCAGAATCCACTCAGAATCGAACGCCCGGCACGCGAAGGCAGACGCCAACCCGGAACTGCCCGCTGGGCCCCGGCCGAGGAGCTGAAGAGCCAGATCCAAGTCCCGCGAGACTACGCCAGTCACAGCTTCCTCCGGGCCAAGCGGGAGCCAAGCACTTTACCACCCGGAAGCGGGTGCTTTGGGAGCCGGGGAGGATCCCTACGTGGAGGGCTGGGGAACCTCTCAGAGACGCTCCCGGTTTCTTTAAGAAAGTGTTGTTTGAAGACTACTCATGCTTTTTGAGAATAACAATGATATTAACTTTAACAGTAAAAACACTGGCACCCGTCATACAAATTCAATTTGCAATCAGCATTTTTCGAAAGTTCTTGAAAAGCAAGCATAAGATTTCAAACACGTTCTCCCTCAGCAAACATTTTGGGAGTGAGTCATTTGTTTCTAATAAAATGCACATTAACATTTTCTGTATGAAATGCTGTCTTTATTTATTCTTAAATATATTTTTATTGATTTCAGAGAGGAAGAGAGAGGGAGAGAGATAGAAACATCAGTGATGAGAGTGAATCATTGATTGGCTGCCTCCTGCATGCCCCCCACTGGCGATAACCTGGGCGTAGGCCCTTGATCAGAATTGCCAGTGCTCTACCCACTGAGCCAAACTGGCTAGGGCCAAAATGCTGTCATTAGATAATTCATGCTCTTAGATTTGCATCTCCAAAGTGAAAAAGGGGTGGAGAAAAAATAATTTCAACAAACCAGTCCCCAAATTGCCTTAATTATTGGTATATTTCTGGTCAAAATGTTTTTTAACAGTAAATGATCTAAATAATTGCCTCAATTCAGCACAACCTAAGTTATTTCAGATTATTAAAATGAAAAGAGAAACTTTTCTTGCTTAAGTTCCTTAGATCATATATGCATAACCAACTTTATTGTAATGTGATATGTTAATCATTAGCATTAATAACAGTGAGCCATCAAAGCAAATATAAGTTTGATGATGTAATAAACTTACCAGCTTTATTTGTATACTAGTTTATAATATCTTTATTAACTACTCCTTTTAAGAAAACCTGAGAGAAAACATAAAGGCTAAATTTATAATTTAATTTTACTGCCATTACACTGCTTTGATTGTCAAAAAAAATTTGATGGGTCAAAAGAGTTGATCCATTTCAGCATACCAGTAGGTTTTCTTATGAAAATTGTGGAAACCTAGAAATGCCAGTTTACAAAGACCTGAAAATCAATTTATTTGTATTTAAATTCACACCTATTTATATCTTAATTACTCTCACAAAAATACACCTGCATTCTACCAACACCACTACCACCTATCCCATCCAAAATCCCTTCTGGAAAAGCAATAAAGATGATGTTCCATGTACTGGAGTTTTAAACAATAAATTGTATTCATCTCTCTAGATTCCCCCAATAAAATATAGTGATTCATTTGAAATATTATAGAACATCAACTCAGGTAAACATTTATCCTAGCAAATCATTTTCTGGGAAAGTACTCCCATAAAAATATCTTCCTACCTATTATTAGCACCTTCCTCTTTTGCTCCATACATGCAAATCAGAATCTGAAGAAATCCTTTATTTAAACCTCTTGCCCATTTTAATTACACTATTTTCCTTTTCTTTTACTGCTAAATTTATCCAACAGAAAGCATGTCTCCTCCCTACAATTCCTTTTCACTCCTTTACTCATTGACTTTTTCAACTCAACTGCTATCACCATTATATTTAACCACTTTCTCAGGTAATCAATAAAATATTTTTGCTCCAAATCTAATGGCCTTTTCTCAGTCTTATCCCCCCCTCGTCCCCCCCACCCAACTCTCTTCTATATTCGGTTTTATTAAAATTCCCTGCAACCTGCCCAGCCAGCGTGGCTCAGTGGTTAAGTGTTGACCTATGAACCAGGAGGTCCTGGTTTGATTCCTGGTCTGCGTACATGCCTGGTTTGCTGGCTTGATTCCCAGTGTAAGTTGTGCAGGAGGCTGCCAATCAATGAGTCTCTCTCATCATTGTTGCTTCTATCTCTCTCCCTTTTCCTTCCTCTCTGAAATCAATATAAAAATATATATTTAAAAAATTCTCTGCAACCCTGACTTCCAAGATACTACTTTCTTCTAGTTCTCCCATCTCTTCTACATGCCCCTCTGATTTTGGCTTCTTACTTCTTACCCTCTCACTGTCACTACCCAAATATGGACTCTTATCAAAGTTTTTTCTTTAACTCTACCCTTCATCCTCTTTTCTTTGGATTATTCATCCATAACAACTTCAGTTCTCACTTCTGTGCTTAAAACTCTCAAATCTATACTTCCAGTTCTCTCCTATTATCTGAAAATTATCCAAATATTTACATTTATGTACTTTGCCATCAATCTGCATCTAATGCTCTATCCTTCATTTATTAACCTCCTACTCATTCTTTAACTCTCACAGTTTATGTACTTATCCTTTATAGCCTTTAACATGGTTATAATTCTACATTATTTGTATAATTATTACAGAAATATCTATCTCATCCACTACATTCCATGAGAACAGGCCCAACCTCCTCTGTTCCTCCTCCCCACAACACTCACAAACACCTTGGCAGCCACAATGAATAGGTTACATCAGTAGTTTGTCAAAATGGCTATAATCCCAAATCAATTCACAAACAATTCCAAGGTAATAAATGCCACTTCATTCTATCTAAGGACTGCCTCTATAGGAGAAACAGTCATAGAAGAAGGAAAGCAATGTGAATCTGCTAATACAAATTTATTTACATCAATGGCAATTATGTCAGTGGGGAAAACAACAGGCTTAAAGTGTGCCAGGATTTTCAAATATGCATGATTAAATCTACATTTCAATATTTAAAAAAAAAAAACTACCTTCTTTGTTTCCTCATTTGATCCCCTGTGTTGGGATTAGTGCTGCTGACTTTCCTGGCCAAATTGGATTTATACCTTCATTACCTCTGAATGACCAAGGCTGTAAAATATGGGCAGTTGTTGATAACTCTGTTATCCTTTCTTGACAATAATCCTAATGCTGGTAGGTTTCCCTCTAAGTGTGTGCAAGCCATAGTAGGCAAATGCAAAATACCCAGCTGTTTTTGTGTGTTTTGTTTTTGTCTTGTAGACACCATTTAATGTCAATCTGATCCATCCATTGTCTTACTGTTCATATATCTTTGATTCTGTTTTTGGTGCAAACCTGCTTCCCTCAAATATGTCTACTACTATAAAATCCTATTAAGTGGGATTTTAAATTTTAATTTACTCCACATTTTTCTATCCTTTATGTCACATAATTCTTTTTTTTTTTCGCCTTTTTTGCTTATCTATATTCCCAGCATCTAGCACAGTGCCTGACACTGATAGAAACTAAATAAATAAGTTAATGAATAACTAAATGAATGAGAAGTGTTCAAAAAATGGTTACATCATTTCACATCTAAATTATTGTAACAGAGTGGGAACAACCCCTCCCCTTTAACCAATCTTATATTCTTTCTATTCCATTCTATAGCGATACTGATTTTTCTTACATCTGTTTCATCATAGTACTCACCTAATTCCATATAAATTAATGATTATATTTTCATCTGCTTTAAATTAAAATACCTCTGTTCTATTTAAGACCTCCTATAATTTGACCTTAACTTTATTTCCCAACAAAATCTCTCATTTTAAGCAGGCCAGTTCCCTCACTGATCCATGAAAACACTATGCATGTTTAAGCCTTAATGTCTTAGTGTTCAATGTTCCTCTGAACTGGAACGTTTCTTCTTCTTGACCCAATCAAGATCGATCCATTCTTCAGAGTTCAAGTCCCAACTTCCCCAAACAGTCTAGCCTGACTATTTATAGATATCCCTTTTCTCTGAGATCTGTGGCACTTTCTCTGGAGTCTATGGCACTTATGTAGTATTTAAGTATATAAACACTAGGGTCATAAAGATTAAGAAATTCCTTGCTCTCAAAAACTTCTGCATTTGACTGTTGACACAGATATTGATGATTATGAATACTATAATAAAGATATACATATGTGATTGGGATGATAGTTTGGGGATATTAAATCAATGACCTCAATGACCTTTAGGTCTAAGTCAGTCAGCAACTCTGTATTAGTCAGGGTCCCATAGGGCAGGAAACAAAATCAGATGATTCAAGTGATAAAACCTTAGTGAAGAGACTACTTACAGAGGTATGGGCAGAGGACAAAGTGTATAGTGTTTCACTCCAGAAGTAAATGTCTAGAAACCTAGATTCTAGTAATGAGTTTCTGTACAACACTCCACAAGGCCTCGTGGGGGCCAATCCATACTATAAAACCATTCATTCCACAGCAGAGACCAGAAAGGATCCAAAGGACACCAAATGTATCCAAAACCCCATCTACCTCAAGAAGTCACATTTGCCTCATCTCCATAAAAAAAAAAAAAAAGACAGTTTAGAGAGGCAGAGGGAAGCAGATTTAGCATTTATCTGAGAAAGACTAAATTATCTAAAAGAAACTTTCAAGCTGACAGTTACTAAGATATCTCTCAGAAGCTTAAAGTTGTCCCCCTCATACTCCACTGCTTCCGGTATCCAGCAAGGTAGAAACTCACAAGAAAAAAGTTAGAGAGAAATAAAGGCTCAGGATGTTCAAGAGTTCCCCCTCAGACAATAGAATTTCTCTTTCTTAACAAGAACCAATAATACTATGCATTTAGCTACCACAGGACTCTGATCTCAGGATGGACTTTGCCACCTACCAATGGCCTGGCCAATCAAAGCACTCCATCTCTGGAACCAGTCTTTTCTTTTTTTTTTTTTTTTAATATATTTTATTGATTTTTTACAGAGAGGAAGGGAGAGAGATGGAGAGTTAGAAACATCGAAGAACCAATAATACTATGCATTTAGCTACCACAGGACTCTGATCTCAGGATGGACTTTGCCATCAATCTGCATCTAATGCTCTATCCTTCATTTAATAACCTCCTACCATTGACCAATGGCCTGGCCAATCAAAGCACTCCATCTCTGGAACCAGTCTTTTCTTAAACAGTATGTGTTGAATGGAAAAGAAAAAAAAAGAAGAAAAAAAAGTCTCTGTGAACTC